GGCCGAATAGGATTCAGTGCTTAGATTGTCTGCACACCAACAGCCCTGACAACCGTGAATGAATATAACAAACCTGCTCGCACTAGCCATAATAAAGGGCTCCATATGCCTGGGCCGCCTCGTACTCGTACGGAACTCCGAGCCGGGCGCTTTGCCATGCCAAACGGCAAGAAACGAGCTCGGCGTCACGACCAGCAAGGGGAGCAGCGCATCGAAGCCGCTGTGAAATTTCTCGCCCTGATGGCGGGCATGCGGGCCATATAATTGGCCTGCCAGCGTCCGGCCCGGCCAATCGTGGCATGCATCTCGGATCTGGGCGCTTAAAACAGAGGCACGACAGCCGCTGCGATTGGCCCGAGGTTTCCTTGTCACCCGGAAGTCTGTCCAATCGCCGCTCATCACAGGCCCAAGCGCCGGCGCCTTGCAGAAGCTTCCCCACCGCCCAGCGACCACCAGAGGCTCTACTCGCCTGGCTGCTGGGGGAGGTGCTCGCTAAAGCGCCCCCCCATTTCAGTAGAGTTCGGAAGCGCTGGGTACTGGTTCCCTCCCACGAGGCTCTGTAATAAATGGCGCCGGGCCCCCTCAAGAGGCCATTGCACCATTTCTAATACGGAGTTGATTTTGAACAAACGAGAGAAGACCAAGGCCTGGAGCCGAAGAGACGACGAAATAAAGCTGCGATTGCAAGAGCAGAAACAAAAGCGAGGCTTTGGCGCAGACTCGGCGCAACGATCGCTAATAAGTGTGCATATGCGGACATGAGCTTTTAGCCCTGCTGCTTAGCCAAGCTGAGGCGCGCACGCATCTATCCTGAGCATTCAACGCCCTTATCGAGCTGCATTCACAGTTTTTTTTGAGCGATCCGTTTAATCTAAGGCGTTCTATCTTTTCCCCTCACTGAAGGGAAAATTAGAAACAAAAAAGAAGAAGAAGAAGAAGAAGAAGAAGGAAACGAAGCAGGAAAAGACTGTCCAAGATGGGTATCTTTGGCCCCCCCGGTCGACCGTGGACTTATCACATCCTCCATCGCAAATGGCCCAGAGTCCCAAGAATGGCCATGCGCTGGCTGATGCTGGTGGAATTCGTCGGCCTGGTTCCTCTCCTCGTCATCACTGCCCTCTCTCAGCCGAACCTGTATCGAACTGCCCTGTGGCAGATTGGATGGGACCACCGTCTCAACTCAAACCCCGCCATCATTCTCTACGCCTATGCAAATTACACGGCTCAGCCGAAGATCGCTTTCATCTGGTCGCAAAAGTCAGTTTGTAAAGAGTCCTTATCGCAAGAAAGGGGAAAAGTTAACGATTTTTGTAACAGGCTCACTGATTTCAATGTCGCCATTGCCGTCATCTCCCTTTTCTTCCTCCTCACCAAGCTCATTGCTGTCATCATGCGAGTTTGGTATCCTATCGTATCTACCGCCAGCTCAATCGCTTTGGTCGTGCTTTACAGCGTGAGCACTTATGGCCAAGTTGGACCCGATTACACCGACCCAAGATACCCAGCACCAGCGGCCTGGTACTTCAGATTCGGGTGCGACATGGCCAAGCCGTATGGACAGTATACCAACTGTCAAATTGCACAGAGTTCGCTCTTCATCACATTATACATGCTGTAAGCCTCAGCCAATCTCCATGACAATACATGTGCCATGCTAATTCTGGGTTTAGGACTGTGTACTTGCTGCTCCTTGGCTTCTCTCTCTATTCCATGTGGCCCAATCACCTCAACGACTTGGATACCGACGAGGATGAAGATGATGAAGAGCCTGTTAAAGAAGACAAGACCATAGAACTGGGCGGCCTGAAAGAGATGGGCATGAAGCAGCCAATGGCTTCAGGAGCCATTCCCTTTACGCCGAGAACACACGCTTTCCACATCCTCGACCGAAAGCTCCCGCTAAGACAGGAGAGTGAAGCAGTCATGTATGCTTAGGAGCCAGCGGGCTTCATTTTTTCTTCATATCCTTATATGTCCGCCAAAAAAGGGGCGTGTGTTTGAATTACTCGGATCGGCAATGGCGTAAGGTTTTTCTCATGCAAGCAATATGATGCAGGGTAATGATACTGGGCCCTGGAGGCCATGGAAAGAAGAGTAGGGAGGATTGAGGAAACCCGCCTAAAAAGAGGCCACCATCCGCAACTATGTATATTTTTCTTCTTCTTTTTCTTTTCTTTTGTCACATACTTTATATACCCTCGCATGATGATCGATCAGGTTCAAATTGAAACTACTTACAGCATAACCTGCAAGGGATTTTCCTAGTCACGCGTCCGAAGCGCATGCAACGAAATAACTTCCTATTTCAGGCATTAATGCTCCCGTTCCGGCCCCAGCCCCGGCGTCGCTTCAACCGGCCCGGCCTCGTGCATACTAATGTAATGAATATGTAAAAGTAATCCACGCTTCTACCCGGTTCTGGCCGCCTTGCTCGCAGTGTCGCAGAGATGGATCCTGATCCAGCGCCGATACCCCGCCAGCCCGCTGCGCAGTACCGCGTGAACGTCACTGAACGAGCATCTTTCCCCGCCTCCATCCGCGCTTTGACCCGGGCCGGTCATAAATCTTGCCTCCCTCCGCAGTTTAGTATTTCCAATCACGTACCGCCAAGCTGCCTCCAGAGCTACCTACTTGTACTAGCTACCCCCAAAATCGACGGCTTTGGATTGTGTAATGAGCCCGTAGATTAATTAGTATAACTGGATTCATCTCCCCTCTCTTTTGTATCTCGCATCCTCCGTTTCCTTTGGTCCCATGGCGTTACTGCATCGACTCGCTGCTTCCTCGGCCTCTCGCTGTGCTCCCGGTATATCATCAATTTTAGTCAGAAGAGCTTCCACCATGGTTCCCAAGGTACGTGTCAGACGTTACCGTGCGCTGTGGCCCGATTGGTCCATGTCGTCGCTCCTGGGAGTAGCCGAAAGCTAATTCGCATCGAACACGATATAGCTTAGAGATCCGTCCCTGTTGAAGAAGGACGTGTGCTATGTCAATGGCGAGTGGGTGACTGCCAAGTCTGGCAAGACCTTTGAGGTCACTGGTGAGCTTCTCTCCGTACCTTATTCAACCGTGTATTTGCGGACGCTGGGCTAATCAGGTTGTCATTTTAATAATCAAAGATCCTGCCACTGGCGAAGTGATTACAACATGCCCCGAATTCACCACTGCCGATACCGAGTCCGCCATCACCGCCGCCGCCGATGCCTTCAAGACCTTCCGAAACCTGACCGGCCGTGAGCGCGCAAAGCTGCTGCGCAAGTGGTACGACCTCGCCGCTGAGAATACGGAGGACATTGCCCAGCTTATCACCTGGGAGAACGGAAAGCCTCTTGCAGATGCGAGAGGTGAGGCGACCTACGCTGCCAACTTCTTCGAGTGGTTTAGCGAGGAGGCTCCCCGCACATATGGCGACGTCATTCCTGCCAGCGTACCGGGAAACCGAGTATGGACTGTCAAAGAGCCTGTTGGTGTTTGTGGCCTGATCACTCCGTATGTTATATGAAGCTTTGTTCTCCCTTTAATTATAGATCACGTTGCGCTGATACAGACAATTCACAGGTGGAACTTCCCCGCGGCTATGATCACGAGAAAGATTGGCCCGGCTCTGGCAGCTGGATGCACCGTCGTGTGCAAGGCGCCTGCTGAGACCCCCCTGACAGCCCTTGCACTTGCTGAGCTGGCTCACCGAGCTGGTATTCCCAAGGGCGTTGTCAACATTGTGACGACATCAGATAACACCGTCGCCATCGGCGAGCAATTGACAACAAACCCAACGATCAAGAAGGTTTCCTTCACTGGCTCCACAGGTGTCGGCAAGCTCCTGATGAAGCAGTCATCCAGCACTCTCAAGAAGCTGTCACTGGAGCTCGGTGGAAACTCCCCCTTTATCGTGTTTGACGATGCGGATCTCGACGCCGCTGTTGCGGGTGCCATTGCTTCCAAGTTCCGATCTTCGGGGCAGACTTGTGTGTGCGCCAACCGCATCTACGTCCAAGAAGGCATCTACGAAGCCTTTACGGCCAAATTCGTCGAAAAGGTCAAGTCATTCAAGGTTGGTAATGGCTTCGCGGAGGGTGTCACTCACGGACCTCTTATCCACGACCGCGCCATCGGCAAGGTCGATTACCACGTCCAAGACGCCATCAAGAAGGGCGCCAAGCTCCTCGTCGGTGGCCAGAAGCTGCCCGACGTTGGATCCAACTTCTACGACCTCACTGTCCTGAGCGACATGAACGCCGATATGGCCATTGCCTCTGAGGAGACATTTGGTCCTGTTGCGGGCCTCTTCAAGTTCAAGACTGAGGCGGAGGTCGTCAAGCTGGCGAATGCTTCTGAGGTTGGCCTGGCTGGCTACTTTTACGCTCGCGACCTGGAGCGCGTTCACCGTGTTGCTGAAGCTCTGGAGGTCGGCATGATTGGTATCAACACTGGTATCATTTCCGACCCCGTTTCACCATTTGGAGGTGTTAAGGAGAGTGGTTTTGGCAGAGAGGGATCAAAATACGGCATTGCAGAGTACCAGATTACGAAGATGATGACCTATGGTGGCATGGGCAAGCCTCTTCAGAGCTAAATATGTGAATATGTAAGGAGGGTGGGGAGTAGCTAAAAGCTTTTTAATGTTCTACGATACAATGAAATGATGATATCAAATATAGAAGACCAGGCCGTAAAGCCAATCGTAGGATGAAGTGTGATGTGCTTTTGTATCAGAGCATATACACATGTGCTCTGTCGCGGTATATCGCCGAATAAAGGGCAGAGGGGGGCAATGATTTGGCCAGAAGTAGCCTCGGTGATGAGTACCCATAACAAAGGAATAACGTGAATCAACTTGCAAAGTGAAAGAGAGCAGTGGTCTCATGCTGCTGCAACTTCAACTACTAATCAATTAATTTGATTGACTCTGCATCCACGTAGATTTTTGAAGAATGCTGCTCTTAGCAAAGCTAGCTTTATATACCCCTTTACCTTGCCGCTAACCCAACAAGAAATCACCAGACTATGTGGCGCAGTGGTTAGCGCAGTCGCCTTACAAGAGCACCGCGAAAGGTCGCAGGTTCGACCCCTGCCATGGTCATTCAATTAATCCAGATTTCATTTTTTGCAATTCGTTCAGTTTGCAGAATTGGCTTATTTTTTGCATGTCAAGTACGTCGGATACGCAGTTTGGGCGCGAAAGCTGTTGTCATGGTTTCCCTCTTTGCTAAACTTTGACGTTACGGGTAAGAGAGGGCTTTGCAAGAGATTGCTGCTGTATATAGCACGTGTATAATTTTGTTCGATTACAAATTTGATCCTGCTAGATTCAGAAAAAAGATGTGTGATCCTTACTAGGTATACCGTGCATCCCAATTATATCTTCGTGGCTTACTGCCTTCCATATGCTGGCAGAGTCTTGGGGGTGAGAACAGTGGCATTCTGCCCACGATGGCGAGACAGCGTCATGTCTCGGAAAGAATTGTCCAAATGAGTAGAGAAAACTAGAGCATGGTTCAAAAGATAAACGAACCAGTCAATCTCGTCCAAATAGATGAAGCAGATTGAGATGCTCAGTTTAAAAGACCGCCTATTCTGGTAGCAGTCCGCTGCCGCCTTATCTTATCATACAGCTTGTGCCATGGATGTATGCATGTACGTCACCCCACCTCTCTGCAAGCTCTTTACAAGCTGCTCCCAACACGCGATCAATCAATTGACCACCACACACATCATTCGCCATGGCGCTCTCTCGTTCAAGCAGCCTTGCCAGCCATGGAATGCGCTTATTTGCGCAAGCAGAAGGGTAAAAAGCTCCATATAAGCATCTCAATTGCCAATTCGCGAGAGCGAGAGCTCTACAGCTAACTCTCTCTTTCACCACATAGACGCCTCTGTGGCCTGTCCTCTGCATCATCAGCCCCTCGCCTCTCATTAACAAGCCTCAAATACGCCAACAAGGCTCCCTGCGCTCCTTCACTCGCTCGCCCATTCAGCCAGTCAACACCTCTCCTCAAAAAGCGCAAAATCGCACCCGCAAGCAACAGCCCCGAGGCTTCATCACCATCACGCTCCTCCTCCTCCTCCTCCCCTCCTAGCTCCTCCAAATCCACCGACAACACCCATCCCAACCCCGAAGACCCCCTCGACTTCTCCTCCCTAATAGCCGCCTACTCCCCCATCGATGCGCACTTCAAAGCCCAGCTCCAGGCCGTCCTCCATGGCGGCCGCTTCAACCCCGATGTCCTCGGCGCCCTCCCCGTCTCCCTCAAAGACGACGACGGCTCCAAGGTGACGTTCCCCCTCAACGAGCTCGCCCAGATCGTCCCCCGCTCAGGTCGCATCATCTCCCTCCTCGTCAACGACCGCGAGTACCTCAAGCCCATCATGTCCGCCGTCCAGTCCAGCAAGGACTTCAACCAGCAGCCCCAGCGCTCCGACGACAACGAGCTCGAGCTCCTCCTCAAGGTCGAGATGGAGCGCAAGGACGACCTCGTGCGCCGCGTGAAAGAGGCGTGCCAGGGCTGGAAGGATCGGGTGCGCCAGGCGCGGACCAAGCACGAGAAGGCGCTCAAGGAGTGGAAGAAGAATGGCACGGTGCTGCCGGACGTGGTGAGGAAGGCGGACAAGGAGCTGCAGAAGGTGCAGGATAAGAAGATGAAGGAGATTGATGGCGAGGAGGCGCAGGTGATTAAGCAGCTTGATCGCAATTAAAGTGCAAGGGCGTATGTATAAGCGCAAACAAACCATCATGTACATTTACAAAATAAAGAAACGCTTCACATGGGTATGACTGCATGAAGATGAGGAGATGGCTCTAGTTGTAACACTTCTTGTGATCAAAACCTCTTTTCATGTAACTCAGAATATCGATGAGATTTCACTATCATAAGCACAGCCCGTATTTCTATCATTTCTTTTTAATCGTACAAAAATACACACACACACACACACATATATATATATATATATATATATGCAACCCTTTTATTTTTCCCACATCAAAACCCTCCAAGCCTTTCAAGCCTTCGCCTTCTTCCCGCCCTTGGCACCACCAGCAGCTCCCGCAGCACCCAGCAAAGACGTCAACTTCTTCTCAAACGTCTCCACATCCTTCTGCGTATACGTACCCGCCCTCAGATGCCACGACCTCGAAATGCCCACCGGGTCCGTCGCGAACTTGGGCTTCTCGTGCTTGCCCTCCACAACAGACTCCAGTATCGTCTTCTTGACGGCCTCCTCGACGTCGTGGATGATAGGCTGCTGCTGCTTTTGCTCCTCCGCAGGCGCCGCCTTCTCCTCTTTACCCTCCTCCCCAGCAGACGCCAGCTCCAGCTCCAGCTTCCTCTTCTCCTGGAGATACTCCTCCGCCGCCTCCCTCGCCTTCAAGTCCGCAAAGAAGCGCGCCCCATTGGCCTCCACCTCGTCGGCGTAGCTCTTCGCCTGCAAGTGCTGCGGCACGCCCACGGGGTCGGCTCTGCCGCCAAGGATATTCAGGTTCTCCATGACAGTCGCCAAGCGACCCTCCTGCGTCGAGGGCGTCGCGGGAACAAACGCCGCCAGGGTCTCCTTCGTCAAAGAAGGTGCATAGGTCGTCTTCGTTCCGAATCGCATCGCATCGTCAAATTGCTGCTCCTGGGGATCCATCCTCTCAAAGGGATCTTGTCTCTTTCCTCGCGGCCCAGCACCACCAGCAGCCTTGTTGCCGCTTTCGCCACCTTCCTTGGTCTTTGCCGCTCTGCCGCCGCCGCCAGTCCGGCCTCCTCTTCCTCGCGTGGCACCACCTCGTCCTCCCCGCCCGGCGCTGAGCGCAGATGTCCTCCCTCTATTCGCACCCGCGAATCTGTTTCCGCTCGGTGAAGCAGCCCGGGGGCTCGCTGCTGCGTTCTGCCCGCCGCCTCGTCCTCGCAGTCCACCCCGCCCTCGAAGCATTCCTCCTCTGGGCAGACTCCGCACATCGATTACTCGGGGCTGTGCTGGCGCTGCTGAAGAGCCTGCAGGAGTTTGGGCTCCCTGGCCGCCTGTTCGGTTCTTCTGCAGGGCATTGATCTCGCTGGCCGCTGCGCGGGTTCGCTGTCGAGCCGAAGGGTTGGCTTTGGGATCACTGGGTGCCTCGTCAAGCTGCGATTGCGTGGTGGAGAACTGGCGGAAGTAGCCTCTAAGGGCATATCCAGCATTCCCCAGTTCTGGCTTCGCTCGATATAGCGAGCGGAGTGTCTGTGAGCTCATAGCGGCGGTTGGTGGTGGTTGAACCTGAACCTGAACTGATCATGCTGAAGTGGGATGGTCTTGATGCGAAGACCAAAATCTGTCGCTTGATGACTAAGCACACAACGGCCATAATACACATCGCAAGCAAGGCATGATGCGGCCATATAATTTTACCTACTAGTATATAAGCAGCACAAATCACATAATGATCAGGTCAAATGTATCTTCAAGGAGAAAATATCCCATGCTAAATCTTCTACTCCAAGTTGGCCCAAGCAAATAGGCGTGTTATCTAACGTTTGCGATGGGCGCCCCAGAGACTCCCAGCGTGAGCCCATGTTGTATAAAGCTCAAGTGAACAATTCCCCAATGCCATGGTTATAGATCCTATCTGCTACAAGACTCGTTCATCTACCAATTGGTCCTCCCATGTCCACGGCGCCGGCATGTATTGGAAAAAAAAAAAGAAGGAGAGAACGAAAAGAATAGAAGAGAAAAGAAAAATAATGAATAATATCCGCCTGCCCAAAAGAAATGCGACCCATAGCAGGGCGTGATGCCAAGAGACCGTTCCAGGTCTTGGCTCAGACAATTACGTTTTACCGTTCAAATAAGCCAGTCAAATCACTCGCCACGGTTATTACCCCATGGCTGTGGTAGCCACATGCTGTGTTGTCTTGCCATATCAATCACATGGACACGTAGCCCCCTTCTTAAGAATATGGTATAAGATGTATGGTGTTGCCTAATGGCAATTTCAAGCCGCCTCCTTGTTTCTTTTGTTTTTGTCGTGGGGGAAAAGGCTGGAATGCGAAAAGTGAGAGAGGAGAGAGTATAGAGAGCACAGCTCTCTTAAAATTAGCGTCATTAGACACTCTGAGGCATGACCAGCGCAGGCTACGAAACTGTCAGTATATAAGTCATTGGATAGCTTAGCAGCTTACTTACAGGACTGTTGAGCATTTGCTGGCGCTTATTTCGGCCTTTCTTAATATGGCTCTTCAGAGCACTGGAGTCGAGAGGTTTGAGAAGCTCAAAGCTGCAAAGCAACTCGGAAGACACAGACATGACTGCGCCCCAATTGTCGAATTCACCACAATACTAAAGATGGTTAGTAAGTCAAAGATGAGTTTATGGTGGATCTCAAGCTGCAAGGGGGGCTCACATTTGGTGCGCTGAACACTGTGACTAATACTCGATCGTTGAAGAATTCATACCCGTCTTCTACCACCATGTGGGCGCGGCAGACCAAGTCAAAGTCATGAGTTGCGAGGAAGTCGGTGATAACTTTCTTTCCAAAGCAATAACTGACTCCTCGCTCGTTTGCCTCCCAGTCTTGTTCCATATCGGCCGGATCAGCCCAAAGAAGGTCATTCAACAACCCGTAGTCAGGAACGTCGGTGGGCCGTGCGATGTTGCGAATGTCGTCCATCTGGCTCAGAGCAGGCGACAGACCTCCATGGACGCAGAAGATCTTTCCGGCCACAATGGCAGCAATCGGAAGCGTATTGAAGCAATCGATAAATGTCTTCCAGACTTTGATGTTGCACCTTCGCTTGCATTCGTCATAGAATCCGTAGACTCGAGTGACGTTGGCACACTCATGGTTTCCTCGGAGCAGGAAGAAGTTTTCGGGGAATTTGAGCTTATAGCACAGCAATAGCAGGATCGTCTCAAGAGACTGCTTGCCTCTATCGACATAGTCTCCGAGGAAAAGGTAGTTGGACGTTGGGGGAAAGCCGCACATCTCAAACAAGCGAATGAGATCGGTGTACTGTCCATGCACGTCTCCAACAATCTTGACGGGAGCATCGAGCTCCAACAGAGCAGGCTGGGCCAAGAAGATCTCTCGGACCCGTGCACATATAGCCATGATTTCCGCATTCTTGA